AGCTGCATCGTCTGCAAAGTCTGCATACGCCGCTGTTAAATTCACTTCAAATTCTTTTTGCATCATGCATTTTTACAAAATTACTTTGTCCTTACCTGAAGCCCCCAGTGACACCGTGGCTTATAGACGCGTCCTCATTGCGTCCAAAGGGGGCGGTAATAAATTGTCATATTACCTTTGCCTTTTGTATTGGTTTGTAAATTTTATTCCCTGGTCACTTGCTTCATATGCAAAATACTTCCAAATGGCACTTTGCTTTTTTAATTCTCGACTGAAACTGGAAGCCCCTTTGGCAGCAGTGCTTGCCGTGTTCGGCCAGCTCAGTGTTGTGAACATCAGCTAGCATTCATGTGTTCAGCTGCCTGTCTGCAGCGGTGAGTGTGAAGCTGTGTGTTGGCTGGAGGAGGCAAAAACGGCACTGTCGGTATTGATACTGGTGCAAATGAGTATCTAATCCGATAGTAATTTTTAGTATGGATTAGTATCTGAGTAATGATCTCTTCGACAACCCTGCCGCAGACTGTACGGACAATTAGATCATGACCAATGGTCAGCAGGCAGAGAAAAACAGGACAGCAAGTGCACGACAAAAGCGAGGCAGGAGGAACACAGCCAGGAATCCTGCCTCCACCGATGCCACATATACATGCTCTATATGTCATAAAATCTGTGGTTCTAGAATCGGACTCGTTAGCCATCAGTGAGCCCACCTTTATAGGAAAAACAGGGACCGCATCAGCAGAATATGATGTACAACGAACAACATGCGCAAATATCCAGACCAGTCAGAGGGATCCAAAGTAAATAATTTGGGCAAAATAATCTGAAATGAAATGTCCACACTGGTAAATATGACCCACAGGAGTTTGACTTCTTTGGTTATAATCATAATGCATTTATTTTTTCATACACTATATTTAGGAGTTTAGCCAGAATGTCAGTTAACAAATATGGTACTTTCACATTCTGAGTTATGATCAATAGCAGAGTTATATCTATGATTATTGAACTACTACCCAAGTAACAGGTATAATGCAACACAATGACACACTAAAACTACTAATTAACTATTGTATGAAAAAGAAATATGAGGAAAATAATCAAAACATCAGTATTCTTGTATGTCAGTCAAACAAAGTGAACAAAATGCCAAGTTTTACCTGGTAACGGCATAAAAATGATGAAGAGGAGGAAGAGGAGAGGAGCCATGTCTGGGGTGTCGATTGTGGCCTTTAGCTGTATCTGTTTCTATCCATCTGGAATAATCTGACTGTCTGTCCTCATTCTGAATGTGTCAGTGCATTAAAGAAGGGGCCTGACAGAGAGGGAAGGAAGGAGATCACACACACACAGACACACACACAGACACACACACACACAGACACATGGAGCATCAACCACAAACACCCCAAAGCTGTTGCAGCTATTTCCAATTTCTCAACAGTCTCTGCATCTTTCATGAGTCGTCACCACGGCTCCGTAGAGAAGCGGCAGACATTTTCTGTTATCTCTGCTCCTGTATATAAGACATTATTCTTAAATGGTAGTTTATAACTTTTATGTTAGACTGAAAGAATCTATATGTCACGTCTGATTATTTTAACAACCCACTGACATCAGGGCACCAGCAGGAGATAATAGACAGCATGTACTTACTCAAACATAAGACCTCAGAACACAAGCGGAGGTGACCTTTGCCCCAGTAGGGGGTTGTATATGATGTGCTTCATGACGATTAGACTTATTAATACGACCCGATGTCCAAAGGCTTTGAGATGTTTATCTTTGAGTGTGGAGTCACATGACTGTAGCAGAGGTGACAAAATGACACAGACACACAGCTTCAAAACAGCCTGTTTTATTACCGCAAAACAATTTTAAGCTGCATCGCCTTCAGCAAAGTCTGCATACGCCGCTGTTCAATTCACTTCAAATTCTTTTTGCATCATGCATTTTTACAAAATTACTTTGTCCTTACCTGAAGCCCCCAGTGACACCGTGGCTTATAGACGCCTCATTGCATCCAAAGGGGGCGGTAATAAATTGT